CTCTCGTTATATTCTCGCTAGATTTTTAAATTATCTAGAAAATCAATTCAAGATAAATTGCTCTATTCGCAGCTCTATTCGTTTCTTTTTTATTTGGGAATTCTTGCTCCACGAGTTTATCTTGTTTGTTTGTTTGTTTGTTTGTTTGTTTGTCTCAACAAACTACGTCAACCTACGTCAACCTACTCTTGAACTACATCTCTCTCATCTGTGTGTTGCAGGTTATTCGGCACGAAGTGCGACAAGTGTAGTCAGTGTTTTAGCAAAAATGATTATGTTATGAGAGCAAAAACTAAGATCTATCATGTGGAGTGCTTTCGTTGTTGCGCCTGCATGAAGCGACTCGAGACTGGCGACGAGTTTGCTCTGAGACAAGACGGTCTCTTCTGTCGGCACGATCACGATGTTCTTGAGGGCGGCAAGCATTGCACCGGGGCTGTCGGTATACCCGGAAGCGAAAACAACAATAACGCCTCCCTGACAAACAACAATCACCATCTACACCCAAACGACGGCTCGATGTCAGGTAAGAAGATCAGGAGGCCATACGTCGAGGATTGAATTCCTTTTCTCCATTTTTTTCTCCGCGCGACATGCTCGATACGTTCGTGATTGTAAAAGTATTGCATCGTTGAAGAATTCGTATGAACTTTTTTTGACGCGGTTTCTTTTCTTCGAGGAAGTGAAAAGATTTGATGGACGAGACGGATATTTGAAACGGATATTGAAACTACATTTTGAATTTAGACATTATCGTAAAGTCTATTTTTATACCGTCTCCTGTTATTTCCGTTCACCTCAATGTCACTGTCAATCATTTCTTAATTGAACATTGTTATTGGGATTTTATGATTAAATTATCGTGCGCCCGCGTGAAATGGAAAATCCGGCTTCTCACATACATCGTACGATATGACACGGGTTATATCTGTGGATTATCAGGAGCATAGTCTATCCATGTTTCCAAAGACCAAATTTACAAAAGGGTATCCGCTCGAGGGTAAGCTCAAAGGACTCTCCTATGTTGTGTTAGGATCACGATGTATAATTAGGTGTTGATAATTGAAGCTGTTAAGACCGTAAAGGCTTGACCATTACCCTACTACACATCAGGATTATGTAGGCTTAGTGTCCTGTAGTGTCTAGCGTAACGTGCGTATGTCCAATCGACTGGATTGAATTGAACAAATTAACTCGGCTCAAGCGAGAGTCGAAATTCGGACGCTAAATTTAAATTTACATAAGACAGAATGGGATTGCGTAGCGATCAAGTTTCATGAGAAAAGGACAATTTGACGAGTAATCAATGTCAGGCGAACGGTTGACTCTTTTGACACCGCGGAGCCGGAAGGCAACCGCAATTAGAACTCTCTAATTTGCCAAATCGGTTAGTGTGTTAATGGCAAACAATAAAGCAAATACCAAAAGATTGCTATTAATTTTACTTGGCGATATGACATGAGAGATATCAGGATGTCGAACAAGAATCATAATTAAATCAATAAAATAAAAATGAAAACTGAGATTTATATGTACGTATAGAAAAAAATAGTATTAGCATCAAGAAAATTAAAGAAAAATACGATTATATATATAATCGATAAAGTTGCGACAAGAAAAATGAATAAAAATAATAATATTAATATTATTTATTATACATTTATAATATATATAATAAGGCGGAGCATAAGAAAGTAAAAGTAAAAGTAAAAGTTTGATAATTATAATCAACGAAATAATGTTAACGTCAAATTTTTATTACGGTTCAATGCTGTTTCTGTTTTCATAATTTTATAAAAACTAATTGCGGATATAAATTTCCAAGTTGTCACATTATGATTGCCATTATAGTTGCTTTGTTTTCTCTGTGTGTCTATATTTGGTATAAAAAAAAAAACTCGATTTTTTTCAATAATATAAAAAATTCATATAAAAGAGAATCGGACCAACAATTTAGTGTGACACAATAATCGAGATGTAGAAAGAAATTTGATGATGATCGGCTACTGTTCTCCTTCTATGTGTATGCATTCTCCTTCGGGAACCTCAAAACCTCTTTCAAAATGCAAAGGACAAACGTTGGCAGTAATTAGCCGATATACTAATTTTTGTGCAAATAATTCGTGTGCGGCAGCGCGACGTGCGCACGACGTGTCCCGTGTTTGTCATTGTGACTCGTCATTCGGAAATCGCTGTGCGTAAACGTTGTTCCCTATGCACGAAAAAGTTGGACCATCTCATGCCGACGGTAGTGGTCCAACGTGTCTTTTAGACTCGCTGCCGAGGTGCCAAATGTAACACCACCCTGCCAACTACTGTCGCGCATAACTACGCACGATCTGTTTCCTCTTATTCGTATCTTCTTTATTAGCGCGCTGAAGGGAGATATCCCGTGGGTCGACCGGTGATATATGTGATAATGTGTCACCGAAATATTCATATCGAAATCTCTCGATTTATCGATAACCTCTAATAAAATGTGCTTTGCTTCCTGCGAGACTCGTGAACGATCGTTAACAGTCCGACCGTGAGATCCGACGTTTTGTTTTACAACGCTAGAATAAAGTGAATAAAGACCCTCGTCGTTTTATTTGAAATTTATATATATCTGAGAATTCTCATCTGTCCGAAAATTATTGGCGATCTTATATCTCATCCGATCTTGTATCTCTCTTTAATGGATCCTGTGGTCTTATGCTTGAATATTACATGCTCGCCGGCTTTAGGCGTTTAAAGAGAATTATATAAAGATATTTGCGACATCGTCATTTGAATTTATGACGTCAAAAAATAGACATAACATAGGTAGATCCTTATTTATTTCCAAAGAAAAGAAATTATAAAAGAATTAATTAAAAATACACTTTTTAAAAGAATTTCGCTTTTTACAAACGCTCCATATTTAGGAAATAATTTCCCTTTCATCAAACCAAGCACTTCTTCATGCGTATCTCTCGTTCCTTCTCCAAAAGGCTTTTCCAATCTGTGCAATATCTGTGGGTGATAGCCATGATTTACATGATCGTTTTTCGAATATCGAGAGTTTATTCACTCTTCTTATCGTCGTGCCGCCATGTCAACGCTAGTTTCATTTCCATTTCCAGCGGTCAACCAAGACCGCTATTTGGTTAGGACACAGAAATACTGGGATTTCATTTGTTCTCTTGTAATGTACTCTCGTTGACTTTCTGTCTTCCCGTTAGCGAAACTTACTAGATTTCAAACGACACGATATCTCAACCGCTAACGTTAACTAGGATGCACCAGTTAAAATTATTGTTGAATAATTTATTCTTATCTTTAAAATGACATTAAATAAATCTCATTAACTTTACTTTCGTTTTCGTTTATATCCCAGTCAAATTTTTTTCCTATTTTTGACCTCATTTAGGATTCTTACATTTGTTTTTTCTTATCTAATCAGTCAGAGATCGTTCTCTTTTGATATTATTTAACATTCACAGCTCCTTTAAAATCATAAAATTTTATTGAAGTTAACCGAAAAAAATTCCTAATTGAAACTTTACATCTACTTTTGATCTTAGTTTTAAGCTTTTTAAATTCTATAGAATCGTGTTAGAAATTTATTTTATGAATAAACTACTCCTATTTTGCATCTGAAATAAATAGAAAACGAACAATTTTTTACTTTGAGATTCAAAAGAGGAATTTTCGGTCATCTTTAATAGAATTTTATGGTTTTAAAGAGTTATATAGGTATTAAATAATATTAAAAAAGATTTATTTTATTGTTTACAGTATCAACAGAAATTGAAAATTCTATTCTTCGGATCAAAAATATAAAAAAATAAAAATTTGAAACCGTTATTATACCGCAATTATGTAAAATTTATAAACATTAAAATTAAAATCATAAGTAGGATTGAAATTTTGACAGCATGAGACTTTTTCGATACACATAACCTATTAAAGATTATCAGATAAGATTATCAGTAAGCGAAGATCGAATTGTTGATAAAAACATTTAAAATTCTACTAAATCAAAATTTAATAAAATGATCATAAATTTCATTAAAATATGCATTATATTTTTCTTTTTTAAAAGTATTTTATTATTTATAAATCAATACTATTGTTTCGTAACGATATGCGTTAAATTAAATTTCCGCGAAATTATTATAATGAAAACTTACCTACGTCTTACCGTCTTCTTTTTTTAAAGTAAATCTCAAGTATCTTCAAGGAAAAGTTCCGCGAGTGCGAGACAGACGGGCAATTCAAATAACGCGCAATACACAAACACACTTTTTGACGGAAAGCCGCTTCTACATACCTTTTGCAAATAAAACATTACGCATTCGCACGACCGTGCGTTCGTAAGTTACGAGTGTCTCGCGTTTAAACGCGTCCCGAGCGATTTCAAGGTCGCTCGGGCGATCAAGGAATCATATATGTAAATACGGGATCCGCGTTTATTCCATCGGCAATATTGTCCTCTGACTGTGTCGCTATAGGCGACCGCCGCATCGGTATCTTTTGCGCGCTCTTCATTGCTCCGCCATATTGAACCAGTATCCGGATCTCCCATTAGCCGAACTCGACCGTTTTGCAAGACCGGTTCGGAAGATAGTCGTCGTCGGTCTTTCTGAAATTGTATCGCGCGTACTCCCTTCTTCCGTGTTTCGCGCGCGGAATGTTTCGCGTTTCCAATGGAATGTACGCTGTTCTCTCGCGAATAAATCTCACGGGAGGCGAGTAGAGCGGCAACCGCAACCGCAACGTTCGTATTTTGTAACCGTTGAAAAAATACTAACAAAAAATTCGGAAGAGTGTCGAAAGATTTACCATCGCAACACGTACTTGTACTTCTGAAGATTCTCTTTTGTCATCAGACATATATGATGATAAGAATTTTCCCTTAGCGACGTCACAGTATGAATCATTCCGATAACTTGCTAATGTGTTAGAAAAATGTTTTCTCTTTCACTTGATTAGAAAAAATCTAGAAAGAAGTTTCAGCCAGTGATGCCAAAATGTTTTCTCCTTCACGTGATTAGAAAAATCTAGAAAGACGTTTCAGTCAGTGATGCCAAAACAAGGTCTCGGCTCATCCGAAAATCAGGAGATACAAGCATACAAGAAGAAGCATGTACATGTGCATTTATTTGTACGTATGCTTTTTCTATATGCAGTTTCCCTTCAGATGAGCCCAAATCTCATCCCTGATCCCTGATTCAAGTCCTATAAATATCGAAAACTGAAAATAAGAGCTAGACAGTTCTACGTCAGTTTTCCCCTCGGCAATCTTCACGTCTCCAGTATAAATATAAATTAGTGAAATATCGTGAAAAACCCATTAATGTAAGACTTGTGTGAAATCAATTTTTTTTCTTTGAAATAATTAAGTATCACATGTCTTATACTTCCTTTCAGCGATTCTACAGTTAGACAATTTGCGCATTTACGTCAGTTTATTGCTACTATAAAAATGACAAAACGTCTCTTCCGTAAGGCTGCCTATTAATTGATTAACTTTGCGAAAAACATTTCTTTGCGTTAACGTCATCATCTATTTTTCCGCATTTATTAATGTTTTACGTAAACACGATGCTGCATTGATTCAAGCCTGCACGATTAGTATACAGAGTGATTCATTTTAATTCATCCAGCCGAAAAATGAGACCGGCAGACGAAAATGTTTCAGACAAAAGTTGTATGTATTTGAAGAGGGACATAAGATTATTCATTGCATATTCTTGTAGCTTACCTCGAGAATTTTTCAAAACGCTATAATGAAGTTGTTTTTCGTCAAGTGCTTTCCAAGGCTTTGAGGCTTGAATTTGCAATTTGACATAAGTATAAAGTATAAAGTATCTCGTAAACTATTCATTTTTTGGCAACTATATATATTTTTATACACAGACCAATGAGATGAATCAATTGGTGTAAAGAAAATACATACTTTTTTGTTTTTCAAAAAAGATACGTCATTGCATATCTCCATTATTTAAAACTATGCTTTTTCAGCAACTATGTATTTTCTTTACACCCATTGATATTATGATATTCTGATATTCTTATGTCAAATCGCATATCAAATGTACTAATATATATATATATATATATATATATATATATATATATATATATCAGAGTGTTCCAAGATTTGCATTGTTTGTATTTGCATTTTACATTCGGAGCACATACTCGGTTGGCTCTAGGGAAGAAGGATTTCCGATGTTTATGCTTGCAGATTCTGGATCCGAGAGCGGATCACACAAGGCGGGCGTCGGTGGCGTTCGCGGTTCTGGCGGTCACAAAAGCGGCGGTGGTTCCGACGGAAAACCGACGAGGGTGCGCACGGTTCTCAACGAGAAACAGTTGCACACCCTGAGAACCTGCTACGCTGCGAATCCTCGCCCGGATGCTCTCATGAAGGAACAACTTGTCGAGATGACGGGATTGAGTCCGCGTGTCATCAGGGTATGGTTTCAAAACAAGAGGTGCAAGGATAAAAAAAAGACAATCGCCATGAAGCAGCAAATGCAGGAGAAGGTAACGAGCTACGACATCGTCGATAACAACAATTATTTCGAGGAGTTATTTGTTTAACTTGACTTTCTTGACGATGAATGCGAGATCAAATTTAACAAGTTTCAGTCACTAAATTAATTTTAATGAATTAATAATGAATAAATATATTGATGGATATATTACAGGATATATTGAATAAGTAAATATATAATAAAAAGTTGATATCTCGATGAACGATCTAATGGAACCAAGCGCTTTTTATTTCAGGACGGGCGTAAATTGGGCTTCGGCGGCATGCATGGCATACCTATGGTTGCCAGCAGCCCCGTGAGACACGAGAGTCCCATTGGTATGACGCCTCTAGAAGTCCAGGCTTATCAGCCACCGTGGAAAGCGCTTTCGGAGTTTGCGCTTCACACAGACTTGGAACGATTGGATCCCACTACGCCGTCGTTCCACCACTTGGTGTCCCAGGTAATAATGATCTTTACAGCACGATATTGCTGCAACGTTGCAGGAATTTTGTAAAATTAAAATATAATTTATAATTTTATGAAAGATTTTTGAAAGCTTACAGTCCGCTTCCAAATAATATTTTCAATGTTTCAATTATTCCTGTCATGTTGTTGAAATATTTAAAAAATATTATAAATATATTTCTGAAACATTAATGCAATATTCAGAGAATGTTGTAAAAGATTAGAGGAAAGAGTGCGGCTACAGTTATATCACTTTGTTTTTGGACTACATTTCTTAAACAAAAATGAAATTAAAAGTTGAGTTTTACAAACATAAATAGGGGAACCCGGACATAACGAGCATAATTAGTTTAAACTAATTTTAAACATAATAAAAATAAATAAATCAACTTGGTTTTATACTAAGATATTCTTTGAAATATCTTATTTATGCAACACATTCTTATAAAATATTATAATTATAATTTTCATCAATATTGTTGCAATATTTGTAACATGGCGCACTATTAAAAAATTATTGCAATCTTGTAGCAATATCTCGTGCCACAAAGAGACATATTTCGAAAACATGTAGTTTCTCGTTTTTATATTGCCGAAAATGTGATCTTGAATGGCAATGCGGATAGGATTTGTCAGAAAGAAATGTCTTTGAAATGAATTTAAATTTATATTAATGTGGGAAATGGTTTATGTTCTTAGAATCAGAAAATGAATGTCAGGAATCCTTTTTAAGCGTTGTTCAAGTATTGTTTGGGATAATTGCAGATGCACGGTTACGACTTGCATGGGGGACCACCGGCGCAATTGGCACCACCGCCGGGGATGCTCGGCGGACCGATGAGCGATGGGGGGGGCGGGCCCTTACCGCCCCCGGGGCCTCATCATCCGGGTGGCGGTGGGCCAGACATGGGTCAACATCCTGACAGCACCGACAGTTACGTGACCTACGTCGAGAGTGACAGTGATTCGTTTCATCACGATACGGGAAGTCCATAGTGTTGTGCGGGGCACGAACGCAAAGCAATCACGCCCCCGTCATTCTTCGCTTTCCTAGCGACTCTCGTCGTGATACTCGCCATAACGGCAAGATGTTTGCAACGGCGAATATGAAGTGGTCCACGGAACTGGGGATCACTGATACACGATCGTGATACAGTTAGGAGGCACAATTTAGATACCAAAGGACTGCGGTGTCTCATCAATCTTTCGACGATAATCAAACAGGCTTGTACCGTGCTACTTCTAAAAGAGTGGCTTAGAAACAACAGTGGTGGATACGCTGCAAAATGATACGTACGATGAAGAGGGAGAACAGCACTGCTGTTTTGGATTATTCTATGCGAATCGATATAATATAAATAATGCATTTTCGCTTTAGTTCTAATGACTTCTTTGAAATGTCAGAGAGATTTTTGCGAGAGATCGACTATATAATTAATTAAAAGAATATAAAATTGGAATGAAAAATTTCTAACGTTCCACATGTTATCGATTATCGATTTATTGATAAAATTAATGATTCTTGCCAAATTGAAATGAACGTTACGTTATTCCAATTCTTATCAGTTTAGATTTCAATAAACGTAACATTTTTGTGACATTTTTATCGTTTGCGTTATGTCATAACGATATAATGAAGATTCGTTGTCCATTTGAAATTAGAACCAAAATTTTGCTGATGATCTGTAAATGGTTTATAAGCGTGCTGTTAATTGTCTGTATATAAAAGAAGGAGATGCGATTTGACATCCGATACTGGAGATGTATTGTACATAGCTACTATTTGCTACTTGTAAATCGAAGCAACGTTTCATCATGATGTACTCAGGCGCAAGAATTGTAGCGTAAAATATGAATAATGGAATATATATATATACATAGATATACGTAGGCACATTGACAATTATATTATTACAGTTATGTTAAGTTTCGCAACGACAAAAATATGTTAGTAAAAAGATTATAAATGCCATGTAGCGTTTAACAATCTTTGACGAGAAAATTGCCGTTGTGTCGTTGATATTCTGCGTTATCTCTCAAATTTGTACGGAAGGCGACTTTGTATTTATACGACACATGCCTCAGTTTGTTAAGAAATAGATAGGTTACTAAAGAAGCTTAGTTATTAAAGAAGCACAAGGGAGCGGTGCTCCTTCGTTTATATTTTGAGAAAGGAGGATGTAAAGATGTTACATTTTTTTCAATGACTCGTGCAATCGAAGTTGCCTAGCAAAGAGCGAACCAATTAAAAAAAGATTAATATAAATTAATTATGTACATACGTATCATCAAACTCAGTACACATACACACACATTTATTTGATAGTATTCATCAAAAGTTTATCTTATTTCTGATTATATTATATAGGATGTCTGATAATTATTAACATAATGAGATCATGTACAGATAAAGCGGATCAAACTGAATAGACAAATTTTACACTTATCAAATTTTTCATTTTGCGATTTTTATAATTGATAATGAATTATTAATTATTAAAAA